CTCTCACACACACACACACACACACACACACACACACACACACACACACACTCACATGTGTTAGAATGAAGGATCCTTAACAGCAAGACGTTTTCTTCTGTCTGGCACTTTCATGTATCACAAGCCTCGTAACATGACTTGCACCTTTGGCTAGTCTCTGTGACAAATAAAATAATTAAGTATACTATGTGGATTTAAAACACAGAGTTTGTGGTGAGAAGACAGAAGGCCCAGGTTTGGGTAAGAATGCCCATGCCCATGTTTAAGGGCAGGTAAAAGAGAAGTTTCCACACACTGTGTACAAAGCTGGGGGTTGTTCTGGAAGCTAAGAAAAGAGAGAGGAGGAGACAATGGCCAGTACCCTCAAACACAGCAGAGAGTCAACAAGGAAAATGAAATATTTCCATAGGATTTAGAGGCATGGATGTCATTGGTGCCCTAGATCAGTCATTTCATGTGTGACTGGGGACAGTGGTTCACACCTATAATCCCAACATTTTGGGAGGCCTAGGTGGGAGGATTGATTGAGCCCAGGAGTTGGAGACTAGCCTGGGCAACACAACGAGACCTCATCTGTACAAAAATTTTGAAAAATTAGTCAAGTGTGGCGGTACACGCCTGTAGTCCCAGCTACTGGGGAGGCTGAGGCAGAAGGATCACTTGTGCCCAGGAGTTTGAGGCTATAATGAGCCATGATCGTGCATGGGTGACAGAGTGGAACTCTGACCCCCCCCAAAAAGAATCATTTTATGAGCATGTTAGAAATGGAGTCCAGTTAGAGTAGGTTGAAATGTGAGTGTTAGGGAAAACAAGAAATGGACTTTTGTTTTTCAATTTCCATATATCTTATAGATGATATCTACTATCAATTGATATTGATGACTGGAGATAGATAAGATCCTAATTAAGTGAGGGAAATTTAGTCCTTGATTAATGACCTGTTTCCTTCCTCAGATCTGCTCTGCCAACAGGTGGTGTCAGGGAGTTCTGGCATAAGGCTGTGGCTTCCTGAGGGAACCTGACCTAGTTGTATCTCCTTCATGGATTTTTTTGTGAGTCTGCACACCTATAAATTCAGCACACCAATCATGGTTGTTCTGCCAAAGTTATGGGTCTGTAGAAATGGCCGAAGGAGACATTGCTCTTTGAAAAGTTTAACAATTTCTAAGAAACACACACACACAAAAGTATACAGGCTCAGTGCTTATCATGGGCATGATAATGAATAAAATCATTGTGTTTACCCTTAAATGCTGGCTGAATTATGTCCTTACAGATTCCTGAACAACGTTGGTTTCTTTTTTCCACTGATAATGATGCTAACTTGGATGGTGTCTGTGGCCAGCATGGTTCGAAAGCTGGTTTATGAGCGGGAGATCCAGATAGAAGAGGTAAATAGCCATAAGTCTGACCTTGAAGAAAGAAGGGGCAGGCTGGGACTTTGGAAATGGATCCTGTCACGTAACTGACCTGAGCCTTTTTTGTTTCACTTCCCTCCTCTCTGCTGGAGTTCCTGTGTATAGTTGAGTTGAGCCCTTGCCCCAGGAAAATCATTTTATGTTGAAGTCTGATTGCTGCCAGAGTTTAACAGATATTTTCTATTGAGAAGAAAGAAAACCAAAGAAGAACTGCATGAGATTGAAAGACTAAATACAGTGTTGCTCATACAGTAATTTTTATAAAACCCAGAAAAATATAATAGCAGATTTTCCATCTTAATTTATGGTTAGAATTCTTTATGTGAAGCATTGATATTTTTGTTCTAATATTGGTAAAATTTGAAACTGTCAGAGTTTCTCTTAAGAATGAAAGTTTGTAAAAGTGTCTGGTAAAGACCTGTCTCCTCATCTATTCCTGCAGAAGAGTGAAGCCATGAGACAATGGGCATGTGGTGTTCACTTATTTAAAATTTATTAAAATAAAGAAACAGCGTGGCAAAGAAGAACGTGCTAGGTAATCAGTTTTACAAGCGCTGCATAGAACTTGCATTGCTGTTTTGCATGCCATTTACAGTCTATTTTTATGGACTTCTGTTTTTCTTCCCTATCTCAGTTTAGCCCTGAGCAGAGGGACCTGGAGTGTATTAGCCTTGCTGGGCTTCCCTGCTACAACCAGCCAGGTGGCAAGCCAGGATGGCTGCTTCAGAACTAATTCTTCTTTCACTAGTAAGCAGCCCCACACTCAAAGATATCACAATGTGATAGTTGAGCAAATGGTAGGTTTAGTGGATGGATTGGTTTTATTTTTATTACTTCAAACGGGTTTTTTGCAAAACACATTCTAAAACCCTTGCCGTGACCCTCCAAACTGAACAGCTTAAGGACCAGTATTTTTCCCATTCAATTTTCTCTTTGACTTTATTGAGCAAGACCAACACAAACAAAATGAAAAGCAAACATTAAACCAAAAATAGTGAATCCCAGATAAACAAGAAAACGCAATAAGACTTCATTCAGTCAACCAAGTCTAAGGTCTGAGAGATCTGCTCCTACCCTTTCCTGCTGTGTGTTCTTACCCGTGAGATTGTTTTAGCATCTTCTTTTCTCAGCTCTGTCTCCCCTAAGTTGGTGATTGACATAAGGTGCTCCTGCAAGGGGCTCATGAAAATCAAATGCTGAGCTTTAGGAGGAAGTGTTCTTCCCAGTGCCCTCCACAGGGCTGAATTTATAATCAAGCCCATTTATCTTCTGCTGGTACACCTTCTCGTTCCGTCATCTGATCCATTCTTCCTCAATTATCCATTGCTGTGATAACTGGGTTTCCCCTCTTTTAACAGTACATGCTGATGATGGGAGTACATCCAACCATCTATTTCCTGGCTTGGATCCTGGAGAGCATGGCTGCATTGACCATAAGCAGTGCTTCCCTGGCCATCATTCTGAAAGCAAGTGGCATCTTCACGCACAGCAATGCCTTTATTATTTTTCTCTTTCTCATGGATTTTGGCGTGTCAGTTGTCATGCTGAGTTACTTCTTGAGTGCATTTTTCAACCAAGCTAATACAGCAGCCCTATGTACAAGTCTGGTGTACATGATCAGTTTTTTGCCTTACATAGTTCTGCTGGTATTGCAGAACCAGCTAAGTTTTGCCATTCAGATATTTCTGGTAAGTGAGTTGTTTTGTAAAAATGTTAAATAAAACTAAACTGCTGCCCACCTGACAAAACAAAACCACTCAACTTTTTAATTTCTCATGTTCAGATCTACATGGGCTTTAGATATCGACTTCCTTTCTCCTATCCACAGACAAACATCTTGCATTCATTTAAATTGCAATGGTTTGGCTGGATGGCAGCCCATTAAAAATTGCCACTTACTATGTAACAGGGGCTCTGCAGACTCTGAGAAATCAGTGGCATCCTTAAGGAAGTATATAACATTTAGTTTCTTTTTGTTTCATGCATGGAAAGAAATAGATTTTTAAAGCTATTTTAGAAGTAAAAAATAAGCATTTTTCTTGAAGCGCCATGAATTACATCACATTAAATGGAAAAATCTCTCTGTTAGTAATGTCAGAGTCGCCTATCCATTTAAAATGTACATCCTGAAAAAAGTATGACAGTACTTTTGGGTCTGTAACATAAAATACGTTGGCAATAGAAACATACTCATGCTTTTATGACGACTGCCTTGTAAGCACAGTGCCTAGCACATGGTAGGTATCAACAGTATGGAAGGAACAAACAAGTCACTGTTAAAGTGATCGCTTTCACAGAGCCAGTAGCATGACTATAAGCATTTGCATAACACTCAAGACTTTATTTTCTCCAGCAGGTCAAGTGACCTCCTCCAATTGCAGTCTGTTGAGGGACATGATGGAGTTGCTAGCAGAGACTTTGGGGAGGTGTCAAGGACACTTAGAATCACAGGGCTGCTAAGCGGTATTTAAAGGCTTTTAAATGTCCTTTAATCCAGCACAAAATTTAGGACAGGCCCAATGCATTCCGTCCTCCCCAGGAGCGGATCGCCTTCTCTGCTTATTTAGAGACTAAGAGTAAAATATTTTTGTGGAAGCCAAATGACATTTCAACTTCAGTAACCCATTCAATTCTCTCTGGTTTCTACAACCCGTATACACACAACATAAATATATGCACATAATGAAAAAGTGACTATCAGTATTTTATCCATTGATATGCATTTATCGGTTTTGATTAGCTTATGTTACACTTGTAATAACTCATAACCAATAATGCATGTCAGCATTAATTAGATGTTTTTGGAATAATTAACAAGTGGGACCATTCAGTGTCCCTCCCCCACGTGCTCCTTACTAGTGAAGGAGGCGTCTACATTCTGACCAAATTTTCAAATGCTGTCATTTTTGTTTTTACTTCAATACTTGTATTTAATGGTTCTATGCATACAACATTTGATTTTCTTTTTATATATTCTAATGTTTTCTAGCAAGTATGAAAAATCTAACTCTGGTACATTGTATTTTAAAATGTATGATACTTTTCCAGTGGGATTTTCATCTGACATAAGACCTCTCCACTGAGGCAAAATAACATTTTCCTTCAACACACTCTCTTTCTAGTGTAGAATAGTGTGTGTGTTCCATCAGTCTGCCTGCAGCGTGCTCCAGGGCATTCACTTAATAATAAAAAATAGTAAATTGCTCAATTCCGCTTTGCACTGTTTTGTGTTACTCATTTTTATATACAGTGCATTGGATTTATGACACTTCAGGCATTGTGCTAAAGAGAAATAATTCCCTTTAACGTTAAAAACTAGCTTGTTATCACATTTTTCAGAGTGGGGTGACATTCTGCTAAAGTCTTTCAGGTTCAAATATTTAAATCACTGCCTGAAGCAACGATTTGGCATCATCAAAATCAGAAGGTGTCATGGTTTCTCTCTTTGAATTTCATGTTGTGGATTTTCTGTAGTCCCAAACACTAATGTGCAGTTTTTCTCCTCGCTTCATCAATCCATGGGCAGTGCTCTCTCTCGACGACCGCCTTTGGACAAGGAGTATTTTTCATTACATTCCTGGAAGGACAAGAGGCAGGTAAGAGGATGCATTTTTAAAAATGACTCCCAGTGAATCAGGTTTTGGGGAATTTATAGTTATGTTGCAAGTGATGCAGTAGAAAGTCTTAATGACCACGTGGAACATATGGAATGAGATCCAGCTATTTGGTTTTGATGGTGTAAGTACCTCCCACCACCTAGTGGCCCTAGTTTGAGAACAGTAAAGAATAATTATGGCATCCCTTGCTTCACACACTATATAGGTCAGCCACCCACTTAATGCTGGGTCTTCCTTATACTACCCTTGATACAACTTCATGACTTTCCGAATTCTTCCAAGAATGGAGTGCCCAAATGCGTCCATCTGTTAGACTATTATTGAAATGGGATCGATCTGTCTTCCTGGATCCTCTACCATGTTTTCTAGTTGTTTTCTTTCTAATTCTCTCTTTCTCATGACAACTGTCCCATATTTGCTAGCTCTCATCTTTACCCCTAGGCTTTCTAGGTCCTTTCCAAAAGGCAGGATCCAGGAATAGGTCTAACCAGCATAAATTAGAGCATACTTATCTCCTCCATTTTTCTATATATTGTATACTTATTGATGCAGGCTAAAATGATTTTTTTTTAAAAGTTTGCTGGCAGCATATTTCACTTATATTGAGGTGTTGACAACTAAAACCCTAAACCAGAACACATATATTCCTTAGATGTTTATTTGATTTTGGGGTGTATTTTTGTAAGTAAAACTCAATTCTAGCAACTGTTGCATTAGCCAGTTAATTTGCACTGGTCTTAGATTTCTTAGTTTTTTGTTTTTTTCCCAGGGAAACCCATTTAAATATCCTTTAACAGATGAGTAATCCAGAATGCTCAGTATCCTTTGAACTGATCTTTAAAATAAGTTGAATCAAGAAGATAGGGGAAAATTATTACTTTTAGAACATTTGAAAATGTTGGTCCAAATTCCAACAAGTACACAATGATGAACACATGTATTTTATTGAGTTCTAGCCTAGTGCCATGGGAAAATTTGAAATCAAATTATATTTTAATCCAGCAATAAATCACAAACATATTTTAAGAAAATAATGATTCTTTCCCAGTCCAGAAACTTTTTAGGGCACAGATAATGCATAGTTTAGAGACTGGGTTCTCAAGAAGCCTTCTTTATCTTAAAAAATGCTTAGTTTTCCTAAATATGAAGTATTTTTAGTTAGGTAAATAAAATAATATATAAATAGAGTGACCTTTAAGAAAATTTTACTTTTCATTTTTATTTTTAAAAGTAAATTGACCATGAATAATCATTATTTTAATAAAAAGAGTGTTTATATTGACTTTTCCCCAAAAGCTCTAAACAAAGAATCAACAAAAACAATAACAAACACAAAAGACAATGTCCACAAAAAAAAACAACAACAAAAAACAACACTGAAGTACAGTGTAGTAGATCTAGAATCATGCAAACATTTTGTTCTAAGCCTGACTCAGACATTGGCCATGTTTTGTGACACTCAGGCTAAACTTGAAACTATACATATATAAAAAGGACATAACGTATTTTGCCTAGCTTGGGTCTCACAAAAATTGTAAATTGTTAGCATTCAAATAGCTCCACATTGAAGTAATTAATATGTAGATTGATTTATAGGTTTATTTGCTTATATTTGCACATAGCAATTTACCATCATAATCATTTTTAAGTATACAGTTCGGTATTTAGTACATACACGTTGTTGTAAATCTAATTTCTAAAACTTTTTAAATCTTCCAAAACTAAAATTCTAGACTATTTTTTCCTGCCACATTCCCTGACAGCCATCATTTTACTTTCTGTTTCTATGAATTTGCCAGTTGTAGCTATTACTTCCATGTAGAATCATACAGCAATTTTTTCTTTGTGACTGGCTAATTTCACTTAGTTTACTGTACTGAAGATTCAACCATTTGTAGCATATGTCAGAGTTTTTTCTTTTTAAGGCTGATATTTCATTGCATACTAAAGTGTATATCACATTTTGTTTATTTTGTTTTTTGATGGACACTTGGTTGCTTCCACTTTTGATTTATTCACAAAGGAGTTGAAGCAAAATGCATTATTTACATATTTTCTTTACTAGAATGAAATAAATTCAGTAGTGGTAAAAATATATTAAATATTGATGAAATAATTCTATCAAATGGAAAGAGATAAATTGTATTAGACAAATTGTATTAATAGTCTTGAAAAACTCAAACACTGAAGAAGATAATTTAGTGATTAAATAAATAATAATGGTGGCTAACGTTTTTTGGAAAATTTTAAATGTAAGATATGAAAATGTTTTTAATGGTCCCTCCATGTACTATTGAAATAGATGTAAGATTATATATGCTAACATTTCATTTGACGAATTATGGCCAGTAGTATTGATCTTCCTTTTGTTTTGGCTCTATTCAGCTTTACTTGAGCTTCCAGAATTAATGAGCTCATCTTACCAAAATCTACAGTAAGAGAAGATGCACAGTTCTAACTCTGACCTTTTTCTGACCTGCTAGGGATTCAGTGGAATAATATGTACCAGGCTCCAGAACAAGGGGGCATGACATTTGGCTGGGTTTGCTGGATGATTCTGCTTGACGCAAGCCTTTATTGTTTATGTGGATGGTACTTCAGCAACTTGATCCCTGGTAAGAATTTTGTACTTTGTAAGATAACAAAACAACTTTAAAAAATAGTTTGAGCCACCATACATGAATATTAGAATAGTTACTTACTCTTTAAGAAAGATATCAGAAAGGGACATCTTAGGACTTATTTTTAAAGGAACTGTGAAGTTTTTTAGAAAAACATGGTTCTTCTGTATCCTGAGTGAAAAGTCAAAGGCCATATGAAGTTTGCCATGACAGACGACTATGCACAAAAACCCATGCAGCCTGCCAAGCACTCCCAACAAGTGGATTTCTATTAGTTACACAGAGAAGAGCCTGGTACTTGAGATTGAGTGCTTGAGGAAGGTGGGTGTGAGGGGGCAAGGGTGGGAAAGTCTGGGGCCCATAGTGCCATTGTTTCCTAGACAACAAAGAGGTAGGGGGATGTTCAGGGTGCCTTGGGCAGAGAGCCCAGCAGAAGCCAAGGGCCTAAGCACTCATCCAAGGGCACAGCAGCAAGGAACCCAGAGAGAAACAAGCAGAGCCTAAGGGCAGCTGGACTGGGTGGTCTGGGGGTGAGGGACCGCCTCCAAACCCAGGGCTACCATTGTTGTCATGGGTATGGGGTTTCTCCTGGTGTGGTATGCTTCTTCCCTGGTGTGGCAGGCACACACACACTGAGTATATTCATTGCAGGGAGGGCCACTAAAGGTTACAGAGTTCCCTGCTGTGTTATGAGAGAGTCATGTATATCTTCACTTTTTTGGTTCAGGCCCAAAAGAGTAGAAATAGCACTTTAAAAATGTTTAATTTTTTAGAAATAACATTTTGATGGTATTATATTTTCTTGCTGAAATTACTGGTGACTCTGGCTCTATACTTTTCAAAGAAAATGGCATCTAGCCTTTAAAATTAAAAACAAAAAGAGATTCTAATCGTATACAAATGAAAATAAAGGGATAGAAGAAAAAATAAAACAGCTCATTCTGTTTGTAAAAATGCAGTCCAGACTTGAAGAGCATTTAAGGGTGGGTAAACATAAAAATAATATGGATCATTGAAAAGATTATTTTACATAAAAGTAGAACTCTATGGTCTTCAAGAGGCAGAGAGAGAGGCAGAGAGAGAGAGAGAAAGAGAGAGAGAGAAAGAGAGAGAGAGAAAGAGAGAGAGAGAGAGATGTGATTTACTCCGAAAAAAGTCAGATTACATCGTTTTGGTACTTTGAATAAAATTTTTAAAAAGGTGGATTTTAGGAAACAAGAAATAAAAAATAAGCTGAGAAGGTCAATGTTCCAAGGAAACTGGATGAGAAGCATTTGGATGTTGAGAAGAAACCAAGTAACATAAGAAAGGAATGTTATAAAACATATGTGTGATGTCAATCTAAAGTATGCAAGGAAGTGGTGTGAGCAGAAGGAACTGAGTCTGGTCTTGGCAGATCAGGCCTGAGAGCTGGAGGACTAGGACAAGAACAAGTCCCCAGAAATGAAGGTGCAGAGATGTGGCGTGTGGCCTGAAGGTGCTGGACAGGTAAGGTAAGGGCCGCATGGACAGTTGCTATTCCTGAGAGGAGCAGGCATCAGCTGGAGCAAAAAAGTAAATGGGACAGTCCTGTGCCAAGGAGGAAAAACCTGGATTTGCAGAGTAAGCACTCCCTGTGTAACATACAAAGTCAATTTTTAAAAAACCCTGTATCTAGATATAAAATGATGGATGTCTTGAGCTCTGAGGACAAAGAAAAGAATACTACAAGCACAAAGACCAACAAAAACAGATTACCCTCAGCGATGTTGGGTGAAGATGAAATGTGACTAGGGACCCAGAATGGTCTGATTTTCCTCTCAGCCATCAGGACCTGAGGCATGAGGATCCCAGGGGCAACATTTTCATATCTTATAGTAAAGCAGGGACTCTTGATATTTGGCTGAAGATTTCCCCCGAAATCCCTCTGTGGAACTCTAATCAATTAGACCAAAGTCCTACGTGAGCAAATCCTTTTGCCTAGACTAGAGGAAGAGAAGTGAGGTGAGTTAGGCCAGGGCAGAGCTGCCAGCTTCCACGATCCTCCTGGGCACTTGATTCAGGTCTTTATTTTTATGGGGTAGAGCGAGATTCAAGAGAGAGAAAAAGATGGGAGGAGGGAGGGGGAAGAGAGGGCGAGCGAAAGGAGTTCTGATCTGTTCCAATGCTGCAGCTTTTTGAAACAGGATGGAGTTTTAACGCAATGAAATAGCAAGCTGTGGCTACAAGAAGAGGTGGGATTTTGGGTCAGAATATTATTATTATTATTATGGTCATTATTAGTTAAGACGGCGGCATAACTGGATGCTTGTGTGCTGGTGAGAATGATCTAGTCTCCAAGGAGACACCGGTGGTGCAGGAACACATGGGAGAAAGGGCTGTGTGGCTTCCTGAGTAGATGAGAGGAGAAGGGAGCCAAGTCATACAGGGAGGAACCTATCCCAGGTCACAGGAGTCCTCCTGCCTGACAGATGCCTGCTGAGAGGCTGGGGGCCCTGAGAGCTGGGACATTTGCTCCTCAATACACAGGTAGATGTGGTTAGGTGGTGAGGGGGCCTGAGGACACCAGAGGGTCTCTGGCTTCTTGTCTTCTGAGCTCAGTAAAGTCCTGTGGCTCTCAGCACCCTCGACAGGTGCTTGTTGTGTACAAGATGTTTAAGGTGGACACGAAAGCTCTAGCCACAGGGAAACACAACAGAGATACCAAACACAACAGAGATAGATACCAAAAAGAGGAGATAAAACCCTCATTAGTTCTAGTTTACATGAGATAATCAACTGAATAAACAGTGTAACCAGTTGACTAATCACAGATATACATACACAGACATCAATAGCATTGCTGCATGGCAGCAACAGAGAATATAATAGGGAAGACGTTCATTTTCAATAGCAATAGGAATCAATGTAAAAGAAGACATGTATCAATTAAAAAGTCGATGAAAAGTAGATTTGAATAAACAAAAAGAGATGTCATATTTTTGAATCGGGATGTTTGTTATTTTAAGTATGTTTTCTCCAAATTAAGGCATACATCTATAATCTTAAACTATATAACATTTAATATGTAGCATTAAACCAGGCTTGGTGGCTCAGCCTGTACCACTGCTTTGGGAGGCCTAGTCGAGTGGATTGTCTGAGTCCGCGGGTTCGAGACCAGCCTGGGCAACTTGGCAAGACCTTGTCTCTACAATAAAAAATCAAAAATTTGCCGGGCATGGTAGCACGCACCTGTTGTTCCGGCTACTTGGAAGGCTGAGGTGGAAAGATCACCGGAGTCCACCAGGTCTTCATTGGGTTGGCTGTGAGTATGCCACTGCATTCCAGCCTGGGTGATAGAGTGAGACTCCAATGCAAAAAAAAAAAAAAAAAAAAAAAGCATTATGTTAATATAATATAATGGCATTTGCTCAAATCATTAAATTTTTTAAATGCTCAGAAAAGGAATTTATTTTTAATTAATGAAATATTTCTAAATAATAGCTAGAAATACGAATTAGTGATAATGACCAAAAACTTATTTTAAAAAATGAAGAGAACTGGTGGCTGAAGACTATAGTAGACCTTACTATAGTTTGACAAAAATTACAACAGTGGATGTGATAATAGATAGAGCAATGGAACAGATGAGAAAGTTAGGTAGTTAACCTAGTTGTGCATAATAATTGACTTTATGTTAAAGTTGCATTTGTAATCAATGGGACACAATACACTGTTCTATGACTTTATTAGGGAGAAGAAAGTTAAATGCATATTCATAAATTTGCCAGAAATAAATTAAAAATAATAAAGAAGTAGGAAAAGTATGATTTTAGAGATAGAGAAGGACTTTGTAAACATAATTCCAAAGACATAACTAATGAAAATGGATACCTTTCTTTATAAGAGTTTGAATCAACATTTTAAGATATTAAAATAAATGAAATTTTCGGAAAATTGAAAAGCTTACAAGAACTATTTAATGACTATATGGAAGAAAAGTTAAAATTTTCAAATCAAGTGTTTTAAAAAAAGCAAATCTCAATATAAATACCAGCAAGTAACTTGAACAAATGATTCATTTAAAAAGTTTTTATTTAATAAACTTATTAAAAGATTGAATGTCACATAAGTGCATAGAATTGCAAATACACAAGAGACAATTTTCTCCTTCTCTAGCAAATGTAATAAAAATAATAGTACAGGAATATAAAGGGAAAAAGAAAAAAAAAACAGATAACTACTGTAGGGTGTCAAATTTGTAATATATACATATTCTTAAAATATTTCTTCTCTTTGACTCAAATTTAAGGAAATGACCATACAAATGCAATATATATGCATATAAATGTTTCCTGCACATTACTTATGAAAGCAAAAATCAGACAAGTCTACCTGTAAGAATAACAGATTAATTAGGTAACATCTGTTGCATACATAGTTTGGAATACTATGAGATAGCAGACAACTATTGGATTCTATTTTACAGGAGTATATATTGATATGGATTAAGAGAGATCATATACTGCTATGGACCCAAAGCTGTCTATGAAACAAGTTATGCAGCGTAACAATATTCAGTTTAGAATTTTCTTTTATAATTCAAATAAAAAACAAAATTGCCAATATGTTTTACTATTCTAAAAATTCAAAATAATTTAACAAGAGAAAAAGAAATCAAAACATTAGAGGAGGAAACCCCCCAAAACCCAGGGTTTATTTATAATAAATTGTGTATTTATTCTTGCATGTAACTTCAGTCACCTTCAAAATACTGTCCATTTGTTGCAATATACCCATTGAGATGCTTTCTCTACTGCTTAAAACAGTTTTCTAACTCATCAGTTTTGGTGTCTTTTAGTCCTTCTACTATTTTTTTATTCAACCTCTTTCACATCTGCAAAATATTTCCCTCTGAGGACTTTTTTCATCCAGGGAAACAAACCAAAAAATATGTCACTACGGGCGAGATCTGGTAAATAGGGAGGGTGGGGCACAGGGATCATGCCATTTTTGGTGAAAAACTGCTGAACACTCAGCATGGTGTGGGCAGGTGTCATCATAAATCAACCATCATGAAATGTGTAAACATGTTTAATCTCCAAGAAAAGGTTTACTGAAGCCAGACACAGTCTCTCATAACAGCCCTACCTGATATACTGATGCCAATGGGTTCTTAGAACACTCACCTAGGTGGGGGGGGGCAGGGGAGTAGGGGGCCTGTACTACAAGGTCCCCCCCTTCAAAAAATAGTAATTATTATTTTGGGTCCCACCTCATATGCTACATAGCTGGGAGAGAGATTAGTTATGGGAGCAAACTATCAGGATGTTGACTGAAATAATTTAATTTAGTACTTTTGATGATGAATAATCTTTTCTCTCCATTCTTTCTTAAGAAAATACGTGAGATATTTGGGTGCCTACTATGCACAACAGCATTACCCAGTGGCCTGGGATTCCCTTCTAATCTTCACTGGGGCAGCTAAGAGTGCATACTTACAGGTGGTTCAGCTCCTTTTCCCTGCACAACCCCAGATGTAACAAATCCTACAGAGAACCTGGAAAATCCCCAGAGCCCCACCCTTGACCTAGATTAGCTGGGCATTTTCTCAGAGCAACACTCACCAAGTAGAAACCCCATAGCTACCTTGGTAGCTGGTTTTCTCCCACAAGTGCCACCAATTGGTCAGAGGTCAATGGTACAACCCACCACATCAGATACAATACCTCAGTTTTGGGGAACACTAGATATCAAGAGCCAGTGAATACCACTTTCCAAGCCACTCCAGTCACTCAAGATGCCATGAGCCAGTACAGGTACCTAGCTCAGGACTGCCATAGTTGGCAATTGAGAAACTTACCACACCAAGGCTATCGATAACCAGTGGAACCATACAGTGCCTAAGTCAGCCCCCTGCCAACCTCAGATAAGAAGAACTAGTCTACCTAAATGAGAAGTAACCAGAAAAATAATTCTGACAATGTGAAAAAACAGAGCTCTCTAGTACTCCCAAAAAACTACACCACCTCTTCAGCAACATATTCTAACCAAAATGAAATTGTTGAAATTCCAGACAGAATTCAAAAAGTTGAAGATAAAATTGGTCAATAAATTTTAGGAGAAAATTGAAAACTAACATAAAGAAATTAAGCTGAAATTCTGGAAGTGAAAGAAGCACTTAGGGAAATACAAAATGCAGTGGGAAGTTTTAACAGTAGACTAGAAAAAGCAAAAGAAAGAATCTCAGAACTGAAGACAAGGTTTTTGAATAATCAAACAACAATAAAGAAAAGAGAATGAAACAAAGTTTCCAAGAAATGTGGGATTATGTAAATTGTCCAAACTTAAGAATTATAGATATTCTGGAATAAGAATATAAAGCAACAGGTTTAGAAAACCTATTTGAGGGAATAATGGAGGAAAACTTCCCTGGCTTTGCCAGAGATCTAAACATCCAGATACAAGAAGCCCAAAGAATCCCCAGCTGATTTATTGCTAAAAGGTCACCCCCAAGGCATATGATCATCTGTCTATGCAAAGTTAATGTGAAGGAAAGAATTTTAAGAGAAGTGAGACAAGAGCATCAAATAATTTACAAAGGTAAACATATCAGATTAACAGCAGACTTCTCAGAAGAAACTCTACAAGCCAGAAGGGAGTGGGGCATTATCTTCAATCTCTTCAAACAGAATAATTCTCAGCCAAGGATTTTGTATCCTACAAAACTAAGTCTCATAAATGAAGGAGATATGAAATCCTTTGCAGAAAAGCAGACACTGAGAGAATTTGTCACCACTAGACCAGTTCTACAAGAAATATTCAAAGGAGTTCTAAATACAGAAACAGAAGATCAGGATATACCAGTAGAAAAATTCTGGATATTATAGAGTTTATAGGTCTATGAAATAGTAACACAATAGAGAAAATAAATAAAGCAAACATAACAACAAGTATGATGAATAGAATAGTATCTTACATAGCATTATTAACTCTGAATGTAAATGGTCTCAATGACCCACTAAAAAGATATAGACTGGCAGAATGGATTAAAAAACACAAACTAAATATCTGTTGTCTTTAAGAGACCTACTTAACTCACAAAAACTCCTATAGAATCAAAATAAAAGAGTGAGGAAAAATATTCCATGAAAAAGGAAACCAAAACCAAGCAGGAGTAGTCATTCTCAAATCAGATAAAACTTTAAATTAACGCAGTAAAAGAAAGACAAAGATGGCTATTATATAATGATAAAGGGATCAATCCAATAAGAAGATATAACAATATTAAATATATATGTGCCTAACACCAAAGCCCCCCAGCTTTATAAAACAAACTCAACCTAAAAAAAGAGATAGCCAGCAATACAATAATAGTAGGAGACTTGACCACTTCACTGACAGAAATAGACAGATCAGCAAGGCAGAAAGTCAACAAAGAAACAGTGGAGTTAAATAGTATGCTATAGGAAATGGAACTAACAGACATTTGCAGAGCATTCCATCCCAAAACTACAGAATATACATTTTTCTCATCAGCACATGGAATATTCTTCAAGGTAGATCACTTAATAAGTCACAAATAAAGTCTCACTAAATTCAAAAATATATAAATCATAACAAACACCATCTAGACCACAGTGGAATAAAACTAGAAATTAACTTCAAGAACAATTCATGAAACCAAACAAAGACATGGAAGTTTTTTTTTTTTTGAGTTGGAGTCTCACTCTGTTGCCCAGACTAGAGTGCAGTGGCCGCTCCCAGCCACTGCAGCCTCAACCCGCTGGGCTCC